AAAGTTTAAATGTTAAAAAAGTTTTTTTAATTAAATATTTGCTTAAAAGAAACTTTTTTATTTGCATTTACAATTTTTTATTTTAAATGATGTCTGTTTAAATTAAACTTTAAAAAATGCGGAGAAATATTGAATAATATAATATTGAAATATAGAAAACGATTGACGGTCGCTTAAACATTGAATGCTATGGATATAACGAAACCTCATTTCAACTTGAAACTATGAATGGAAGGAGAGATAAAAGGCGCTAGAGATAATAAAGATTGTGAAGAGATGTCTCACACAGTGCGTTACTGTGTTAGTCACGTAACCACAAAGTGATGGAAAATATATGAACTTCTTAAATTACTTTCTTTGTCTGTGCGGAGAATCTCATTAAAGATGTTTATTTGTAATACACAAATCACGGAGCGTACAATAACTAATGACACGCTTAGAATTCATTACGAAGTTAATTTCATTTTCGAAAAAATTTAATTTATATTTCAAAATATATTAATTTCTTAATATAAGTATATTAGGATTATTACGTATCTTATTTATTGATTTTAATTTTTTTTATTTATAATATTTGATTTTTGTTAAAAAATTTTTTCATATAATCCATTCAAAATGGTGTATAATTGCAGAAAATCATGCATGTTTAGATTTGATTTTAAGGGCAGCTTACAAGAAATCGGATAATATATTGGGTGACAAAAGGATTAGTTCTTCCATCTATTTTCTCTTCTTCTTTCTTGGCCAATGGATTTCTGAGTAGACCAGTTCTCCCAAATGTTTTACGCGAGTGACCATGCGTGTGAGTCCGTTAGTATGGGCATCCTAGTAACGTCATCCCCTTAGTAACGAAAGGAAGGGAACCGAGAGCTTTCTCGTGTCTCTCTTTCCGATTGTTCTGCGCCCTCGACCAATCTCCTCGGGTTTGCACAGGCAGAGTTTGCCAAACACGTTTTTCGACCTTCCGCCGTCCCCTTATTGTTCAACCTTAAACGTAATATCTACGTAGCACGTCCTGCCCACATTTCGCCGACATTATTTCTCCCTTGACCAGGAAAACGAAATTTTTCGCTCGATTGTGACATTTAGAGAGACGCTAAATAGTCTTTATTAGACGAGAGACGTCTATTGGTATAAATACATTTTTAAACACAGTTTTTAAACAGTTTTGTCGAAAATTTAATATTTAAACGTATACGATAGTAACGTTTAATATTATAAAAAATTTTTAAATAAATTAAATAGGATTGAACGCAAAATGTCATTTTATATTAGCACAAAAAAAATGAAAGTCATAAAATTGAAATATCGAACTTAATTTATAATAATATATTAAATATAAGGCCAAAAAGCAGATTTAATTTAAGTTTGTTAAATTTCCATCAATTATTACACGTACAACTTCAAGATAATATCTTTTCCACATTAGGTAACCCATCTCTTCCTACTCAACTTTCATTCTTAACTTCGATAATAAATTCTATCTCGGGGAGATTTAAATTCGATAAATTCCTCCAAAGAGTATTTTCTCTTTTCTATTTTTAAGCTTTAGCATTCAAGCCCCTTATGGTAAATCGAAACTCACAAATACAAATAAATTTTCTATGTTAAAGAAATCACAGCGATCAATTAATTGTAATGTTCGTTTCTTTGCGTGAACGGTTTCAATTTCTTGACGCTCGTAATATATTTATTCACTAAATATTACAGATAAGATGAAGCATTGCATTGATAAATATTATTGCACATATGAATAAGTTGAATTTTTCTCATCTAAAACTACGAGTTTCAGACAGATAAAGGTTTTCTGAAATATCAAGTTGTTTTGTAATTGAATATCATTTATTTGACTATAAGATGAGTAATGAACATTTTTAAGTGGTTCGATAAAACTAAGTCTCCGAGTGTAAAGGTAGAGCAAAGTTTCGTTATGGAATGGTTTCGTTATGGAATGGCGTCGCATTAATGGTTGTACAAGGTAGAGAACTTTATACCTGCCGTGATAGAAACTACTAAAAGTTATATAAAACTCATGACCCGTTATGAAGGACAGTTATTAACCAACAGACCATTTAATTTGCACTTCCGGTTTTTTTTACAGGCTGACGTTTTTCCTTTTGGACTTGTAAATAAAAGGCCTCAAAGTGTACGGCGCCGTGGAGAAGACGTTTCACCCGTTCGAGCTGAGCAGCAGGTACGTCTTTTCCAAATTGTTATATGTAGCTTTACATTATTAGCGTTCATTTATGTACTTGGAGCAGTATTGAATTATTTATAATATTCGTAAAAAGGCATATTTGCAATATTTTTGTCGGACCTTTTTTTTACATATAAAAAGCGATACAAATTTTGTAAATAAAGCACGTAATTAATCGCAATCTGTTTAATATTATAGGCTTTCCCGCGTGTTCCCCGGAACACTGCCCGGTATACAAGGTGAGTTACATAACATTAATCCTAATTTGTATTTAGAATTTTATTTTCCACAATATTGATTTGATTAGAATTAAATAGAACATAATATTTATAATATCTACTACAACATACGCTATATGAAATATTAAATTTGAATAAATGTATCAAGAATACTATACGGCACTTGGCAATCAGTCGATAACAAGCATATACCAAATATAAAAATTGTATATAACAAGGCAATGCGTTTTTTTCGCGTCAATGTGTGCTATATGCAGGTTAATTCCTATTAATTTAGTGAATGATCAGCTTCGAAAGCCCGAATGAAAATCTGGCCATAAACCTATCCATTTCCTAGGTACGTACTTGCAGTAAACAGAGGATTGTATACAACCGCGTCACACTAAGCCCATAGCTACTAAACCGCGCGCATACTACCTATAAATGGGCGGGCTGCTATAAAGTCCATTCATGATCGCGTCGCCTGTACAACAAACGTCGGGTGGCTCGCGCCTCCCGCGCGATTTATTACACTCGTATTCAAGCGCGAGTTGTGTTTCCTACTTAGTACACGTGTACTGACACGATCGCGATTCGAAATCGTCCTATTGTCTGGTTCGCCGCTGACAGACCAATCGACCCCGTTTTCGTCTCGCCGTCATATTAGATTCCATTCATTATATAACCAGGTACATTAAACGTCGTAGAAATCTTAATATTCACTAGACATATCTTTTAAAGGCATTTTTGAAAAAAAAAAAACATATTTGATATGATTATTTATATCTATTAGTAAAAAAAATATTTAAAAGTCATTCTTTTTTGTTTGAATAAAAAAAATATTTTGACCTTTATTTTATTTAGGTTGAATTTAAATCTGGAACATTTAATTTATTTTTTATTAATACCGAAATAGTTTTATTTGAAGCAATAACAAGATTAGTTTTGCTCTATAACTTTCCAAGTTATTTATTTAATTATATTTATTAAATATTACATGTGTGAATTTTATTTATTATTTAATAATAAATTCTTTTTGTACTCACGTAAGTGAAAAGCGATAAGATTTAAATTTGTCCAAACTGAAACTTTGTCATAAAAATTTTTCGTTAATTTGAAATTATTGCAGAATTTTTAAAGACTTTTGCATTTCTGATTACTAATGCGTGATCATTAAGACATGATTCTATCGTGAGTAACACAGTCTGATGGCACACGACATTGATGGACAAACAGATGGAAAGCGTGTGTGCTACCGGAGTTGTTGTCAGACCGTTTTACTTTACTGCCCATAAAAGTACCGAGATTTAGACTGCAATACTGCCATGACGTATTGCTCGCACTGCGTGTACATGCACGTACACACTATCAAAGTTGACTGTGGCTGCTGTCAGGCGTGATCCATGAAGGCATTTCACTAACCACGTGACGTTTCGTGGGAAGGAAGACGCGAGAAGTTTGGATGCATTCCTAATAAGTTTCGATAGCTTGTTCGTTAAAAATGGTAATTAAAAATTTATAATTATAACAGCAAATAAAGAAATTGAAAGAAAAGATAGATGTACGCTTCTAGAATTAAGGAGAGAAGAAGTTGTAATATTAAGATAATATACGTAATGTAAATATCAGAAAGATAACTTATGAAGAAGCTTAGCTATCTGAAATGAACGAAACGGTCTCTGATAAATGTAACTACACCTGCGAACGCTAATATATAATGATAACCGTAAAATGAAATCGTTAAATATAATTATAACCGTGACCAAATTATAGCCATAAAGATACCAGCAAAACAAGGTCGACTATTATTTATTACTATTATTAGAAAGAAATATTACTAATACAAGAATAGACTCATTAGAGTGTATTACATTCGGAGATAAGAATCCATTACGTAACCATACTTTTAAAATTTATTATATTTGTAGATATCAATTATGACTAATGTAAGTATATTCTCTTTGTAATGAAGTATACAAAAAATTTAATTTTTAAATTTGATTGAAATTTTGATTAAACTCTTGTCATTTTAACATAGACACACAAGTTCTATTATATATAATTAAAAAAAAAAACTTTATTAATATAATCATATATTTTTGAATTAGAAAATATGAACAAAAAAGGAAAAGAATTTAAATTTCTTAATTCAGTAATATATTTGTTAGTAGAAGGCACCATTATTAAAATGGTATCCAGCCAAGTACAATTTCTTGTTAAGTACTATAAGTGTAACTGCTGTCGTTTCGTCGTCTAGTCTTCGTTTGTACAATCTTTATATCTTTTTTTTCATTCGCCTGTCTTCTCGAGAGAAAAAACAGCAGTATTGAAATTTGGTGGTTCGTAATACTCGTCGAAAGGCAAGAAGAGCAGTCTCCGTAAGATAGTTGGTATATCGTGCTTGCTGGCCTGCAACGGTGGAGAAGAGGAAGAAAAGCAGATTAGAGCACGCGTGGTAGGGGGATGGGGGGAGAACGCCAAGAAACGCGCGCGAGAGCGAGAAGCGGTCGTGAGAAGAGGGTGGGAGACGAGTCCGTCCGGGCTTCGCTTGCAAACCGATCCGAGAGATCGCGCTCGCGTCACTTTTGGCCCGTTCGACTCCAAGTCGCGGGCAGAGCTCTCAGTTGACGCTCAGTTCGGCTCAGCGAGGCCAGCAAGAAGAAAGGGGGATTATTCTGTATGTGTGTGAGCATCGTGCGTGTGTCTATTGGCGCACGATCCTTGGAACTGAAGAAGCGTTCTACTACCTGCCGAGAGTCCTTCGGTCACATTACGCTTAATACCAAGGGGTGGTTCTACCCTGATTTGATTGATTTGAAGATAAAAAAACGAGAGAGATAAAGGGATTCTGCTTTTGATTCGGGAACTTCTCCCCCTTCGTGACGACTCCAGGCTCTAATGTTGGAATTTTCGCCGTTAGTGAGTTTCGTGATTGCATAGATTGCGGACGTTGTACGCGCGAGCGAAACGTTTGATGAATCGCGCTCGGAACTCCTTCGTAATGATGGGGTTGACGGTATTCGCTGATGATAGAGACGGGGCGACGTGTGGCTTGTATACGGTAGGCCACGGGACGATCATAGCGCAGTTAGTCGCGCAGTGAATTAACCTACCGAAGATCGACGGATTGCCAAGTGTCATAGCTGGTGCTCGCATTAAATTGCGCGCTAGCTTTACCAACGTTTTCCCTCTTAACGCGTGGCGATCGAGCGCAATCGCCGCTCCGGAGTTATCGCGGTCCGAACGATGCACTAAATCGCGCTGTGTCATTTTGTTTTCGTTTCAACCCTCATCCCGCATCGTTGGATCGGCCGATTGGACGACCGCATAATATCTGGACGAATTATTAATCGACTCCACGGTTGGCGACGTTCGCACGTGGGTTACTCGCTGCTATCACATCGATTATCTTATCCGACGTCGTCAACATCGTCGTCGACGTCGTGATTCTCATCACCGCGTGTGGACCTCTCTCGTTCGAGGATTTGCCAAGCACTTTATCGTGCCCCCGTCTATCCTTCGCGCTGCCCGTGCCTCTCTTCGTTTCTCTCTGTTCCACGTTTATCTACCCCTCCACCTGTCTGCTGCGGCGCTGTACACCCTCTCTCCCGCCACCAACCCCCGTCATCGGACGACGCGCGTACCCGCACGATTTTCCCTATCCCCACCCGCCTTCACTCACTCCTCGCGCCTCCGCTACCTTCTGCACGCGCTTTCTTTATTTACTCCGTGAATTCACGGACAACACGACCGGCTCGATCACGATGAGCGCTCCGTTCTTCGGTCCTCGGTGAAAATCCTCTTCCATCACGCGCACGTTTGTCGTGTTTTCTACTCCTGGACCTATTCGCGGGGTCCACGCTACGTTTTTCGTTCGATCGCGGTGTGTTTCGCTGGGACAATCGCTAATCTACATATAACCGCTTTGCTCATCATTACATTGTTATCACGATGATCATGCGACGACTTTTACATTCTGGGTGAACTCTGGTCGATTTGTGCTGATTTATCGCGCGTAATTCGTGATTTCACTAAACGCATACGGCGGTCACGGGACCATCACCTACATTAATCGACGCGGACGTCGACATAAATATTGTTATAACACCGGCAATAAACCGTCATCATCTGCACCATCGCCGATCACGTGGCTTGCTCGACGGCGACGCTGTACGATAATGTTCACGCCGCGCCGCTATGTGGCTCCGGCGTGGGCCACCCTGGCTCCGTCACGCCGATGGGAGCAGCAACCGGAGCGGGGAATTCCACCGGGGTGACCTGGTGGGCCATGATGAACGGTTCCCTCTACGAGGACAGCCCGCCGCCAGTTCCACCAACAGCTTCGACCCTCGTATCGATTCAACAGCAAACAACCTCGACACCGGGCTCTCATCAAGCGACAACACCGACTTCACCTGGTGCACCGGTATCATCGGCAACGACAGCGCCACCGGCGCCTACAGCAAGCGCCAGTTCGACCTCGCCAAGCGCTTCTTCGGTAGCGAGCAACAGTGCAGCCGGGCCACTTCATATACCAGCCAAGAGATTAACAGCGACACCAGGAGGCGGTGGTACCGCTTACGGAGAAGTAGCTTGCGTGGAGTCATCAGGCGCGCCAGGTGGTGCGGGCGCAGCAGGCGTGATACGGCACTCTCATTCAGCGGGCTCCCAAGGCGGCTGGAGTTACAGTCCGCATCATCCCCAGGATTCCCATTACTCGTCCACGGCGGGCGAATCGTTGAACCATCATCAGACTTACGGGGGTAACAATCCCCCGACGTATTACAACCTGGCGGCCGATCCCACCTCGACCTCCGGTTCCTCCAGGGACAACCGGAAGGCCGGGCTTTTCTGGTCACCCGCAGCCGCTACCGCTGGATCTGCCAGTACCGCTGGATCTACCTCGGATTACAAGTCCTACAACTCGGCCGGTGCGGCAACTACGACGTCGACTACTGGTGGATCCACCACCGGGGCTGCCGGCGCCGCCGATCCGGCCGTGTCGTCCTGCCATCAGAGCTTCTCTCAGAGTTGGTGCAATTACGCGCCATACACGACGGCGAGGCATCACCATCCGGTCGACACGGCTGGACATCATCATCCTCATTCGCAGG